TGCGCGGTGGCCAGGGATTCGGACTCTAAGAAAGAGCAAATACTTAGGAAGCCTGGAAACTGTCTCCAGTGTCACGGCAGGCAGTGCCGGGGTCGGGTACCGGTTTCCTTCGCTGCCTCCAAACCTCCACCGAAGGATGGAGCTGGGTGTAAGGGCTGATGCTGAACGACACCGACTTTCCTCCTCACCCATCAGCCCTTCGCAAAACTATTTGCTAATTCGATACGAGAGCGAAAAGGCTTTTTTCCCCGGCAGCGAGGTTATTTTGTACGGGTTGCTGGTTTTAACCTTTTCTCTGAATTATTTGCAGAAACATTCAAGACAGGCCAGGAGGTGGCTGGATGGTGGGAACCACGACTTTACTCCCTTGATGATACACAATCACTGGAACCGGTTCTTGGCTTTACCATCTGCATCTTTCAGAGCTGGACAAATCTAAGGGTGCAAAGGTTGCACCAGTGTGAGTTATGCACAAACTGCCAACAAATGAGAACAAATCAAAGGCAAATAAATGAACAAATGATAAATAGTGGGACTATCACTAGGTATATTTTGTAGTTTGCTTTCTTAAGCTGTGGATGTAACTGTTCTGATGACATGAGGCAGTAGACTTACAGGCAGCCTTAATTCAAATCCACTTATTTTAATTGAAAAAGTTAATCCACATAAAAATCTTAATTGAAAAGATTGCAGTCATTATACTTTCCCCTTGATTTTTTTTTTTGCCAGTTTCTTTTGCCTTTAATAATAAACAATAATCGTATTTTCCTGTCCTTGCTTTTAAAACTCCAGCAGGAGGGGAGGAGGACCTGGCCGACAGAGGCAGAGGAAAAGCTGAGATACAAGAGAAGGGAAACAAACTGCTGAAAGTGAAAAATATAATTTTCCTTCAACCACACTTGATTGCAGTGATCTGAGATGCAATTGCAGGCACAGAGGCCATGCCAGAAAGTGTTACAGGTTTTTAATGTAACTTTCTTTCTTTAAACGTAAAACTTCACATAACTTTATGACCAAGAAACTGTCCAAGAGCTTCCTGCAGCAGCGTTGGCTCCGGCGTGTATGAAATCCCAGCATGAGGTTTGCAGGTTTCTTGGTAGTAGAAGTTATTTAATATTATCTGTTGAATGGAGTCCTTGATAAATGAAGGCTTTTCTTATTGTCTCGCAAATTATTCCCAATGTGGTCCTGATTTTTCTGAAAGTAAACAAACAGATAGTTTTCAACCTAGGGTTTGTTCGCACATACAATAACCACCAGAATTTGCCGGCTGGTTTGTGAGAGCAGCCGCCTTCCCCAGAACAGGCAATAAACCCTGCGGCCCCACAGCCGAGCCCAGTGACCGAGTCACAGACCTGATACCCCTTTTTCTATCATTCAACTCTATTTGCCAGCCGTAGAGACAAGATTTTTTTTTGTGTTAATTTTTTATTAATCCTTCTACTTGCATTTTATTGTTGCTATAAATTACAGGGGGGAAAAAATCCCAGTGCTGTATTTTGAATATTTATTCCCTACAATTTGCTGGAGTACAGATACACTCCTCATCTCATGGCTATAGCCTGCATTATAACAGTTAGAGGATAACACACTTTTCGGTCCTCTTACCTCCAAACTCCAGCTGCCTGGACAGGGTAATACAAACCACATTGAGCTGGGCCAGGCAGTGCCACGGTAGGGATGGCTGCGTGTCTGCAAGCGGCCTCAAAGCCGTGGCTGGTCTTTCAGACGGGGAAACGATCTCTCCGAGGCAACTGGGATTCATCATCCACAGCTAACTGAGCCCTGGTGGGAGCTACCCCATAAGCGGGAGGGTTCCCGTCTGCAGGCTTTCTCCATTGGGCAGAGAGCGCTGGCAGCATCTCCTGATCCCATCTCCGGATGGGATGCTCCTGCTCTGGGCATCGCTCGCCCCCGAGATGCTCCGAGATCGGCCGTGGCTCTCCTGCAGCTCCCCGCTGGTCCCTACCCCACAGCTCCGCTCTGCCCAAGCGCTGGGTAGTGCCAGATGAGCGATGCTACCAAAAACGCGTCATGAGAATGCATTAAATAAAAGATGAGTTCTTCCCTGCCCTCCAACGACAAAGCAGTGCTTTCATCCTCAGCGGTTCACTGGTTTTGCTGCTTCTGGGGTAGGTCGGGATGGGGAATTGGAGGATGTACAGAGCAGAAGCACTTGGTATCCTCAGTGCTGAGCTTTATCATGTTTTTCAGTGAACTGGATTAATTCTGTGCAATACGGAAGTGCTTTAAGTTTGTGGAATGCGGGACAATAAAAGCGAGCAGATGCATGAATGTAGGCAGAAATCCAGAAAAAAAACCAACAGTCCATCTCCCTACATCTTATAGAAACTCCCCTGCCCCTACACGTGTGATCTGCTATGGGGTCAGCCGGTCCCAGGAGGAAGAGAAAACAGACGGAGGAGTGAAGTCCAAATACAGGGGAGCCCATGGGATGACCCCCGAGGGGCTGCGGCTTTGGGCCAGCACTGGCCCAGCTCCTGCCATGCTGCACCGGGCACTGGAGCATCTCCTGTGGTCATCAGCTCTGAGGATCCTTCATGGGGCTTTGGTGCTCTGACAAAAATAGGAGAGGTTTCAAGGCCACTCATCGTCAGAGGCACAGGGCATGGTTTATGTTCTGGGATAAGATGCATTTTTAAAGGGTTTTTTTCAAGCCAAATTGCTTTTTCTGGCAGCGTAGGAGCCGTCCAACCTTCTGCCTTTGGTGGCCCTACCGTAGGAGAAGTGAAACCTGCCCTGTTGCTTGGTTTAATGCCAGGCTCAGTCCTAAGCCTTCAAACATGGGATTGCTAATGAATTACCAATTATATTTCAATGTAAAATGTCCACCAGGTTCCCCACAGTGCACTTCTGCAGATGGAAGGGCTCTTTACTCCAGTAACTAATGGGCACAGACAGAATTGAGCAGCACTGAAAGGTAATATCACCCCCAAATACAACCAGATGTGCAAAAAATACACAACTTTTCGGTGGATAAAACTTGCTGCAGAGCCAAAATCAGACTCAGCTGCTAGTTCCAGGTCTTGAGGGTTAGGAAGAGGCAAATTTTTTGTGCGTGAGCTATAATCATAACTCAGCCTTCTGGCCAAGACTGGCAGGGCAGAGTATTAATGAAGGCAGATGCTCCAGACCAAGGTCCTGATTTGAGGATTCCCAGGGCTGTGGTGCCCAGAGGCACAGTGGTTATGAGGATTTCACGGCTCCTACTGGTGTCTCTTCTACCTCCTGACAAGGCTTCTCAGTGACATTATCTCCACACTTCTAATTTTAAATTGCACCTTATCTAAAAAAAATACACAAGGCAAGGAGCTAAGATCACTGCATTGCACATAACAAGGAAACCTATCTTGTCCCCTCCAAATCTTCCCATTCTGCAGCGTGGGCTCCAACGAAGGATGGAAAAACTCTTTGCAGATCATAGCAACCCTGGCCGGAGCGGAGGATTTTACCTTTCAGACAGGAAGATCTTTCCTCTAGCACCTACAGGCTTGAGTTGCTTTGATCCTGGAGACCTTAGCTAGAAAACAGTAGCTGGTAAGCACTGGTCCACATCCACGACGGCTCCAGTGAACCCCAAGAGTGTGCACGGAGTCTCAGAGCTGGGACGGAGCAAGCTGATGGAGAAACGCCATGGGAACGGTGCTGGGTGAGGGTGGCAGACCCCAGGGAAGGGCTCAGGGAGCCCAACCATGGGATGGGGCACCGGGACTCCAGGAGAGGATGCTCCTCACGAGCCAAGAGCCCCGTTCCCTGCTGAAAGCCAACGGATGCTTGACCGGAGCCACCTCCACCCCGAGCCGCAGCTCTCCCATGAGCTTTCCCCATCTCTACCTTGTTTTTACATTACTCGAGGACAGAGCTTGTTTTTCAGAGCAAATCCCCTGCTAATGTTGCTGGGATTTGAATTTATGGCCACGGGAGGTGTTGAGCCACCAAGCCAGATGGTTATTTGCTAATTTTGAGGGTTTGGAGTGCTTTTTGGATCTCAACAGAACTGTCTGCATTTGCAAACAAGAGAAAGCCATAGGTTGAACTGTTTCATATATTAAATCATTGCATGGTTTTCTTCTTCCCTTATTGAAAAAGATCGTTTGATTTTCGGCTGTATAATTTACAGTCCACAGCCTGTGACCCAGTGCAGCCAGAAGGAAACTTTGGAAAGGGAGATAATACCGTGGAGACAGATTTTCCTCTTCTCTGAGCTGAAATTCCTCATGAAGCTGAAGCTTCTTGACCAGTTCAGCTAACGCTGATTCTCTCCTGCTCCAGCAACACTAGCCATAGACAGACTTCTTTGACAGACTTTATATAGCAACGACCTCTACATTAACATGCACGGATTGCATTTACCCATTTTCCACAACTCGGCGCTATTGGGTGGCAAGTCAATCACATTTATTTATTACTCTAAAATTAAAACCAGAAAATAACACCCATCATCCCTAAGGGGGTACTTGAAAAAGCAGAGTTTCACCCAGCTTTGCACGGAGGGTTCATGCGTTTTTAATTTCAAGCACAAAGAATATATAGCTTGGTTGGGGGGGTGACATCACCCTCCTTAGAAAATTTCATGTGATTCTTTTTCTTGTTTTTAAAGCTATTATTTTACATATTTGCCGACAGATATTTGTATTGGCAGATCTTATGAAATATTAAGATTGTATCTTTGCTGTTTAATTTCCAAAGTCACTTCCTAACCAAAGTGCAAGCTAACAACTCAAAACCATACTGCTGCTTCGAAGATGAGTGAAAGCTTCCTTGCAACCCTTTTGATTTATTGTCCTTCTCCCCAACGCATCCCCTTCCAAGCTTCTATTCTCATCCCTTTATGCTTGCATTTAAGGCAATAATTAGCCGCAATACCTGAGGATAGAATAGCAAAACAAAGCTGAGTTTCATTGCAGCCGGTCCATCTCTCCCAGGTGTGGGCTCAGTTTTAGCCCATAGTTTGCATTTATCTTTCCAGGCAGGGAAGGATGGAAAAGTCTCAAACCTGCCTCGGGGCTGACTCCTCCAGCAAAGTGCTGGTGGTGCAGAGACGGCGGCGGTGGAAAGAAATCAGTCAAACCCAAACAGTTGGAAAAGCACTTTGCCGGTACCCAGGCCGATGGATCTGTGATGCTGCTGGGGCAGCAAAGGTAAGGGAGGGGTGGTTATTGCAGCCTGTTAAAGGAGGTGCAGTCTTCACCCCGATAGCGATGGCCATTCCTTCAGGTGGGTTTTGCGAGCTCGACCTTCTTTGGGACACATGTTGTTGGTACTGTGGACCCTCGTCCTCCCTGGCCCCAAATCTTGGCGATCACGGGAGACTTTGGCCCATTTTTGCTTTCAGAGCAGACGATCAAGGCCATCAAAGGACTTCCCATGTGCACCAGCACCAAGGAGATGTCTCAAGGGATCCAGTTACTATTTAAAGTGAAGCAAACCAGGATATAGGCTGTATTTTGTAAAAATAATATCACCCTCCTCTTTAAAGGGGCTTTTTGCGCTCAGATTGCTGCCTGTGAAAGGGCTTGCTGCTGGCAAAGCCCAGGTTGGGGTTCCCAAGACCCCGGGATGCTCCATGGCCGGACCCTGCCTGGCCCCAGCGCCAAGGAGCGGGGAGTGCAGGAAACACGGCCCCCGGTCTGCCCGGCTTCGCTCCTGCCCGGGAATATAGAATAACTAAATATCATCTTCCCCATAACTATTTTAATTTCACTTCTCCTGTGTGGTTTCCCTGGCAGCTAAACCGAGAACTCTTGGCTTTTCCCTCCCTATACTCCACCAGTGGGAAGAGCGGGGGTGACCCTGGGGACAGGGGGTCCCACAGACCACAGGGCTCACCCTCTCTTCCCCCGGGGTTCTTCCCCACGGTAAAGCCAGGTGGGATACATTTTAGTGCCGTTCTAAAGGTTTTCTGCTTCGTCCGTGTGGTTAATTTTGCTCTCTCTAAATCCCCTATTATTACACATTCTTTAAGTATTTTCTTTAAGTATTATGAGAAAAGTTCAACACGGCAGGAATTTTTTCCCTTTGCTTAGAGGGGGGAAGGGGCCATGTCTTGGTCTTATTTCTGGGCTCTGGAGAAGTCATGACGAAGGAAAGGTGGTGGGAAAGCTGCTCGGTGGGATGGCCAGCCTGGCAGGGGCTTCTCGGGTGGAGGTGGTCGGAGAAGGGATGGAGCAGCTTCTCCTCGCTCTCGCACAACCACCAGCCAAAAGCCAGGAGCCGGGCTAGGAACAACGACCCTAAAAATGTTCCTCACAGCACAGAGCCAAGAAATCTTGCTTTTCCAGAAAAGGTTTTGAGGTTGCAGGGAGATACCTGACAGAAGCCGGCGTTACGCAGCCCCAACCATGCTGATGGTGCCGGGAAAGCTCTCAACGGGGCGTGCAACTGCAGCCAGAGCTGCTGGATGGAAGTCCTCGTGGTGGCACGTCACATCTTGGTCCTAGAGATGCGCACGGCGGTGTCCTCCTTACCCCACGGGCAAGGGAACATTCCTGACCCTCCCTCGACTTCCCGGGCTGTGGTGGGGAACACCACCGACCCTTCTCTCATCACGAAGTGATCCGAGTGCCCTAATTTGATTTAACTCTCCCCAAATGCTGTCGATATTGTTTTTACTTTACTGAATCATTTCCTTAAAGTTTAATCCTATTCCCCGTGCAGCCTTTTGGGGGGCTTATGTATAAAATAACATAACAGAGATTTATTTTAATATAGCTTTAACTAATTCAGCGCACGTGGCGGTGAAGGACCTCCTTAGGAGGTCACCCAACCGAGAGACTTCAAGACCGGCTGTCCACCACCGTGAGGTGGCCAGTTCTTCCCCAGACCTGTCATTTTTGCCATGAAATTAATTTGGGGTGTTCCTGAGAGCACGGACGGGCTGAACCGTGCCATCACCTCCTGCTTCGGATGTCGCGAGCTCGGCCCGGAGGTGCCGCAGCCCAACGGGGGACGGAGAGCGCTCGCTATCGCACTGCGCTTGGGTATAAGAGCTGAGGTTTTTCAAAGTTCATTATGGGCAAAATAAGGTGGAGAATGAAATTAAAGCTTTGCTGTGGGACTGGACGTTTGAGAATGGAAGGGAAAACAATCTCCTAAGCGCTGTTATAAGCTACTCTGGGTGTTTTCTGCCAAGATTTACTTAGTCTTCAGGAGTTTCTATTTAAAAGATTGGTTTTTATGAAAAAGAAATATTTGTTAATCTGTTAATAAGCAATTAGTCAATGACTCATATGAAGTGGTAGTCACATCTATAAAAATTAAAGTTGAATATTGCAAATTCCAGTTCCCACAGAACCCAAACCAGCGGTATTTCAGCCCACAGAAGGGTTATTCAGCTGACGGACACATCCACTCCAGTCACAGCCTGAGTATTAGCCAGAGCATTTAGAAACTGTTTTATTATAGCTTTAATATACTCCCACAACAAATCTTCCACCCCTTTCTTGTGTTGATAGCGGCAGCTGTTTGTGGCACACTGTATCATCCATAAGTTTAATTTTTTTCTTCCAAGAATATTAGATATTAGCTTGGATTTCTTCAGTGTGAGGTTTATCCCTATTAGATTTCAGGCAGCACATGCATTTATATTTACGACATGACAAGCAAATAGGCTGGGATCTGAAAAAATTATTTACTAGTAACAGTAAAGTTGGGAGGCGGAAAAAATACAAACTGGACTGTGAGTCCTGGAATAAAAATTAGTAGCCTGTGCAAACATGGTTAAATCAATCCTAAAGTACATTTTTACAGGAGAGGAAAGATTTTGAAAGGGAAGACGTGAGGGCAGATGTGGTTGGTGCCACCAAGGCCGAGGAGGGGAGAGCAGACGGGGACAAGGGACTGGCCTGGGCTTTGCTGCTTTGCTGGCTCCGGCTGCGTCTCTGCAAGAGGAGAAGAATTACACCACCCGAAAAAATTGCTTAGAGTGCAGCCCACGTTACATACACCCAGCGGGGGAAAGAGATGCACCCACACCCACTTGTAGCCTTGAGTGCACGTCGCCTGATTAAACGCTGGTGAAGCAATCGCTGCGGCTGTGTTACGGGAGTCAGGGCTTGTTTAGAGGTACACGACGATGCAGTGCTGCATCTTTCTGTTAGAAACTGCAGGTTTGGAAACCATGTTTTTTTCCCAAATGCTAAAAAAAAATAAAAATATTTTCTCACTAACAATTTGTGAAGCAGAGAACAAACAATGCTTCGAGTTTATCTGTTAGAACTGACAATGTCCTAGCACCAAATTTATAATTGCAGCCTTATACAAATCTAGACATATCAGGTGGAGATATAAAAGGGAAAAGTATTAGATGCATAACTGAGTGCAGGTGATATTAAGATATTACCTCTAAGCCACAAGTCAGGTTTGGTTTGCTTTGGGGTTTGTTTTGGTTTGTTTTGGTAAATGCGAAGAAAATCTTGGCAAAACTGGCAGCTTGAAGACAGTTAAATCTCCTAAAGTCTGCCCCTAAAGTGGTCAGGAAAGACTGTGTTTGGAATTTACCTGTGCGCTTTAACAGATTAATGGACAGTATTAAAAGATCATTTTCAAGTTAAGCAAACATTACTGGCATATTGTATAACACATGCTTTAAAATTAAGTTAGTTATTCTGAACTTTATGCCAAATGATTATTTGTTCGATTTTCTGATGACGGTAATACGTGACATACCATCACATAATTTGGTAAAGACAATAAGATTACAAAGCCCAAGAAGGGTCTGAGTCAGTCTTTGACAGATTAAAGCTCTCCAAGTCCCCTGAAAACCCTTCTCTGACATATTAATTTGACCTAAACCCTCAAAATGTTCCTGATTATATCATCTCAATTGGGCTTTATTTTTGTTTTATTTTTCATTGTAGGAAATTAAAAAGGGTTGGTTGATCCCCGGCCAAGTTCTTGAAATGTGTTGCAATGCTAAGGAAATAAAAGATTACTCGAAATACTTTTTAATAATATGTCATGTCAGCAGAGATAAAGGTTCACACTTAATGCCCTCAGCTGGCTTCCATCAGCGCTGGGGAGCACAGCGTCGATCCCGTCCGGGCTCCGGCAAGGACCCGTCGTTCACCTTGCTTTTAAATCATGAGCTTATGCTGTTATAATTATGAACATGTTTATGAAATTTGTCTCATTTCTCTTTGTAGGAAGGAATAAAGATCCGCACAGGTGGAGCTGATCCTGCTCTGGGGTGAGGGCAGCGCGAGATAACCTCCCGACGTCTCTGCCACTGCCCCGTTCTCATGCCGGTGGATGGGGATGGCTGGGGGATAACGCCCCAGAAGAGCCCCCCCACCAAGCAGGTCAGACATCCATCCCGCGGGAGCACCTGAACATGCCTCGTACGAAGGAAAACCACGTCGTCGGGGTTTGGGGCTTTGCGGGGCCACCGCCGACAGACAGCAGTGGAAGGGTGGACTAACACGGGGGCAAAAGCACCGTATAGCTCAGATTACGACAGGACGCAGCTGCTCTCCGGATTTGGAGGCACTTTGCAAAGGAAGAGAAGTACCGTTACCCTCAATAAAAGTTAAATCTGAAGTTAATTGCCATCAGCCTCTCCAAAGGCTGCACTAGGAGATACCTGCACTCCCTCCGGGGCTGGGGCTAGCTCCGCTCCTGCGTAACCCCAAGGACACGCAGCTCTACAAAAGCCTGGGGAAGCAAATGCAAGACACATCCTTCCATACACTTATTTTACAGCTCATGTACATCTGTCCCAAGTGCCACTACAAACGGCGTTGTTAATTTTCCACCGTGAGTGCAACAGGAGCTTAGCCGGCTCTTTCAGAGCCCCGTTTACAGACAGGGATGCCAACTTTTCTCGCCAGAATCAGGCTGCAGGCACGGTCCGAACCGGAGCTGGCACCGGGACCATGCACATGGAGAAAAGTCAGCAGCCAGAAAAGTGGGCAGCTTTCAACCAGGTACCCCAGGCTGGGTGTCGAGCTCCAGCATTTAGCACCCATATCTGCACCCATTCGCTTTTTCCAAGGCCTTTTCCTGAGACAAACTCCTGTCCCAGTGAGACATGCCAGGAGTTTGGTGTATAAATGTGTGCAAAAAAAAGTATAAATGGTTATAAATGCATATAAATGTGTATAAATGTACAAGTGAGTATCAATTTGCAAAGCCCACCATAAGCCGAGCGAGGAGCATGCTTGGAATGGGGATTTGAGGACAGCAGTATGAGTCTGGGACATTTAAAATACACATTTGTCAAGAGTTCTGCCAGATAGCGGCCGTCTGACATTTGCTTTTGGTTGTCTCCACAAAGACAAGGCAGTTTTCACTCTGCTGCCAGCCCAAGGCTTGGAAGAAACGTGCGCAGCAGGACACGGACCCTAACGAATATGGCAAGAAATCCTGAAAAATGAAACATTTGAATAAATCAGTGTTCCCCTGAGACTCCGGGAACATTTGGAAGTGGGACAGGGAGCTCTGCACCCCGTCCCCTGCCCACCCCAAAGCCACAGTGCCCTGCAGCAACTCCCACCCTCCCCCCAACCTGCTTTCTCAGCTGGCCTGTGAATTTTATCCCTTTCCACACTTTTTTTCCGTTAAGGCTCATCTATCCTAGCTGACCTCCCTGGTGCAGGGAAAGGCAGCGGGGCAAGGGGTGCACAGAGGATGAGTGGGTGGGGGGGCGGACACCCACCCTGCTCAGCGTGAATACCACTGCTTCCCCCCCGCCCA